TGACTCCGATTTCCTGAAAAAGAGTTTCGGGGTTGTGAGATGAGCGGCTTACGACTTACGAGTCCACCACCCAGATCCCGACATAGGGCACGGAATTTGCGCATAGAAGTTTCCGAGCTTACTCCCTTGCGAAGTTCCTGTGAGAGAAAACAAAAGCGGGAATGGGCGAAGCATGATTCAAGGCGAAAAATATGTTTCCCCGTCGAGCCACTCGGCCCTGAAGTATCTCGACCAGCAACAGGTCGTCAGAGCGGGTTCCGAAGCTCGCCACAGTACTGGACCTCATCGGCTGCACCTTGCTGCCGCTACTGCTTCTTCATTCGTCCGTTCTCACCTTTCTCGCGTTAGCGGTCCGTTCGTCTCCATCACTCATTCTCAAAATACAAATCGTCCTCCATCCATCCACCCAATGTCTGTTCCGTCGGTTTGTCCATTGAACAGCAGCTACTCATCATTCTGAAGCCGCTCGAAGATTGAATGCTCAAGCTTGCTCGCTTTGGCAAAGGACAGCAACAACTATTTTGCGATTTGATGTTTGGGCTGATCGGCTAAGGCAGCTCCGTTGGAATAGGGCTCTCTTTACCCGTGCTGGTATGATATAATAGAAGACGCCTTCTGAACTCCATTGAAGTCAAACAGATAAGATGGTGACATCGTTAAATCGACAGAAATCTTGTGGAATAGCCCTGAGCGATGCGCGGAGTCGCGGGTGGGCTGAGCAGAGAACATTGAGCCGCCGAAAAAGAAAAACTCGGATAATGTTTGCCGATGTTCGTCGCGATGAATCGACGCGGAATGCCCTGCGCGCCAGTTGGGCGGAGATACGGGAGCACATATTTCCGCGGATATTCGCGGAGGAAATAGTCGGAGACGGATCATAACATCGATGTATGTCCATTCTTGAATCGGAACATCGATACAGTTTGATAGAGTATTGCGTCGTCAAGTGATAGACTATGATTCGCAAGCGTTAAATGATAGATTGTGATGAGGCGAATTGATCGATGGTTAGGGCGATTGATGGATTGTCATCTGCATCGATCAACGATGGACGGAACGTAAAATCGCACTGAAGGGCGACATCAGTATGCAGAGACCGACATACAGATCTTGAAAATGAATTTCGGCTTTGTGAACACGTGGATACATCTCAATAGCAGTTGTCGTTGTTGTCCTCGCGGACAGCATCGGTCGCAGCAGCAGCGCTTCGAAATGATCATCTATCAGCAGCAGCAGCAGAGCGCGGACCGCCGGCCAGTGAGAGAATCGTTTCTTCTCAGTTTCTGTTTGTTTAGTTGAAAGATGACGACGTCGGCGACCGCGAGAACCAGCGAAGAAAGAAGACACGGGCAGTTTACTCCGATAGAGAATGACACTACCTAGATTTGTCAACGAAGGGAAAAAATACCACTCACAGGTCCTTCCTCATAGTTGCCGCGCTCAGTTTCGCGCGCACGTCACGCTTTCGTCCTACGGGAGAATTTCGTGTATCAGTACATCTACGTCCCCGTGAATGCTCGAAAATATGAGAGGGAATCGAGCCGCTCTGGGTCGGGTACGCCAAACCCAGAATTCCACGATCGACGACCGAGGGAGCGAGCCTCTCGTCGAAACCATCCGTTGAGATTTGAGACGGCGGAGATTCTTCTGTGGTCGTCGAGCTGATTCGACACGGCAACCTCCTACTCGCAGTTCCGGTGTTTATGGACAACAGCGAGTACAAAACACACCGTACCCTAATGACTGGTTCTGCCGTCGCTGGTTAGAACTCAGACTAAGATGCTGAAGATGAAGAGACTTTCGAACCGCCCCTGATCGAATAACTTTACGGCTATGCTCACTTGCACGCTGGATACTCGTCTGTCGACTCGCTAAGCCTCGCTCGGAACTCAACGAGCCAATCCTCATTCCGCCTGTCCGGTCGAACATGCTTAGCGTAGCAACGAGCGTAGCTGCATCATGCATCACCAATGAATTCATTATAAAGAAAAACACAACAACGATTTTGTTCGGCTCGTGGCTCGAACACGTCGGGGCGTGGGTGTTCGAGTGCTCGGAGCTGTGGAATCACACGCCGCTCTGACGTTTATCTCTCATGAACTCATGACTTTTAATGAAACATTTCTCCCCATGGCCGAATCGAATCCCGCCTTCCTTAATGATGAATAAAGAACCCATCAGACTAAAAGCACGCCCGGACTCAGAAATACAGAACATCATTTTCGACTCGACGCTTCCTCTGGATCCAGACGTTCGCATTTTGAAGGAATGAGCGGGAGCGAGAATAAATTCAGCCCACAGCTCGTGTATGAAGACGAGTCAAGATCTGATCCAAATCCGAGAGAGCTTCCGATGATAGCACAAAGACAACTATTACGGCGTTTTATTGTTATGATACCTGATAAGTTGAAATGTTCGTCTTCATCCATCTACTCAGTCGCTTTCCCCCGTCATTGTCGTCGTGTTCTACCCGCCGCCTCACGTGCCGCTGCTGAATGAGCGCAGCAGCAGCAGAACAGACAACCAGACAGCCGACAAGCTAAGAGTGAGTGAGCGGGCGAGCTGATAGTGAAGAAGATACTTGACTTGATTGATTGACTGATTGATTGATCCACTCGTTGACTTATGGATGTCTATCTGGATTGATGTTTTCGTCTCACCGAGAGCTTCTTCTCACTGAAATCACTGCGAAAGTTTCGTAAGCCGTGGAATGTCTAGAATTCCTGGAGCGTTCGTAGAAATGGAATTGGGTAAGTACTTCTCTACTCATTGAATTCAAATCCTCGATTGTTGTCGCGAGATACGTTCTCAGCGAAGCGATGGAGAAGAAATCGAAAGAGGGTCATAATTATCGGTAGACGCTCCTCGTGATCGTCGACCCCTTTCACGAATTCGCCTCTGTCTGATTGGCTCGGATCTTACGCAGCCTAATTTCTCAGCCAGCTGGCCGAACTCCCGAACGGCTCGCTGTTCCGGACTGCAAACGAAAGCTTCTGTAATGGATAAGTGGTTGTGCATTAGAGGTGAGGAGAATGTTCGAGATGGCCGATGATATATGGAGGGTGGCCTAATTTTATATTTCGACTCTGCCGGCGTGCGAATGTTCGACCCGGACGGGAAGGCGACCGCCAAGGGGGATGGGCGAGCGGGCGGGCGGGCAGGCGGTCGGTCGAGCCCTCGTGAGCATGTGGAGTCAGATGGCGGACTCCCGAACGGTGACATCGAGGACTACATCCAAGAATACGAGGATGAGGACGACGACAGCAGCAGCTTCGAGCGTTGGGTTCAGTGAGGGGAAACCGTCCCGGAAGAGGGAGGGAATCAAGGGGTATGAGGTCAATTCCATACGCTGTTGATGCGGCCCGCAGCAGCAGCATTTATTCAACGCCATAAATAAAGTCGCTGTCATCGCCAACCAACTGAGCAAATGAGGGAGCCATTCTATTGCCATGTAGCTGGCTAGCGGCGCGACGACGATGACGACAACGGCGCGCCAAGGTGGCTGCTGCTGCGAGCGTCTCTCACCGATGTACGAACCCGCCAGCCACCAGCGAGCATCGGCTGCCGCGGCCGCTGCAGCGGCGGTGAGGAGACGACGAGAAGGGACTGAGCGAGGCGAAAATGGGCGGAGCTCCGCGGCCTTCCGCCATTGGATGCTTGACTCCTCCCTCGAAGATCTGGCCCCGCCCCCTTGGCTTTGGCTGCCCGTGTAGGATGCTGGAGGCTGGTCGCTTGCCGCCGACAGGGAGCCAGTGAACGAACCAGTGAGGCAGCCATGGAGGCGAAACGAGGAGAGTGGGCATGAGTGACGGGTGTGTAAGACATACACAGTGAGCCCGTGTGCCTGCGTGTCTGACGAGTGCTGCCGAAGCGCCAGCCATCCAGCTCGCCGCCCGGCAACAGACCGACTCATTGGTGCGAGCGGCGGCCGACGCGCAGTGCTTCTTGCTTGCAGCAGAGCTCGTCTCTCCTCACGAACACGAAGCACGGTGGAGTCAGTCGACGACAGGAGGCAAAGCAGACCCTCAACGAACGGACGATTCGTCGGCCGGAACGTCCGACGAACGAACGGTGGCGTTGGTCTGTGTTGCGGTAAACTTGCGCCGTGCCCACTGAGAGTGAGTGAAACTGTGAACTACCGACCTGGGGAATGACTTGATCCCTCGGGCAAAATCTGCCTTCCTGACTGCTTGCTCTGGACGACAGTCCGTCGAACAGTCAGTCGGAGTAAGGGAGAAAATAAGGAGCACCGCTATCCGGTTGCAGCTGTTGCTGCTGCGTTCAGCGAAATAACGACGAAGGCTTCGTTCTGATGTGTGATGTTTAGTGACTTGTTCGACAACTACCAGTTTGCATCGGAAGAAGCAGAAAAAGTAGCTACCGCTCGAAGGACGTCTTCAGCATCCTCGTCTGAGACATCGGCACGATCAAGACCGGTGGCGTGCATTAGAAGTCGGAGAAGCAAACCAATCGCCGAGGCGGCTGATCACTGCGAGCTGCGGACAGCGACTGATCATCGGAGCCCCGATCACGGACTCGAGTGGATATCAACAAAAATCAGGAGCAAGCAAACGACGCCTCAGATACGACAGCCTCGGCAGGGGTAGAACTTGCGGGGAACTAGCGGTGGTCGGCGTGGTCGTATATTCACCGAATCTGCCCGCCTGCCAGTGAGTGAGTGAAACCCGTGCAACAACATCTGGATTCTGGATGCTCAATGAAAAGCTGAGTCGGATCCGCGTGTAGTGGTGTGTTGTATCATCGGTCGGTGTTGGGTGGATTGCGACGAAGTCCGAATTTATTCCCCTACTTGAGAGAAATCGCTCGGCGCCCCAATGTTTCCAACCGAACCAAGGAAGGACCCCGACCCCTGACCGAGAGAATCCCCTCAGAGCATCCTGACAGAACAGGGAATTATCGAAGGCCAGCAACAAGCCGCGAGCCTGATCCGAAGCAACAAGACCATCGATTGCAGCAGCAAAGAGGTTGCTTCACCCAAGATGGCACAGTATCCCGAGCTAGCCGCTCAGGTCTATTTTCCAACTCCAGCAGCGCCGTCGTCAGATCCTTACCATCATTCTCATCATCATCCCCACCTGGGTTCTTATTCTGATCATCGTACACCGCCTTTACACGACGGAACTCCTCCGTCGGCAGGACATTCTCTCATAGACCAAAACGGACTAAGCTACACGAATCTCGATCAACAAAGGGCCGCAGCTGCCGCGGCCGCAGCCGCAGCGGCGGGCTACGCACGGATCTCAACTCCGACGTACAACAACGGCTCCTCATCGGGCTACAGTTCCCCGGGCGCATCGCCTAGCCCAACACACCCCGCCGCTTCCAACTTCTACCGGGACTACAACACACATTCCCCCAACGACGTTGGCGTCGTTTCTGGTGGCGGCGGGGGACGTACTGCAGCAGCAGCTGCTGCGGCCGCAGCGGCAGCAGCTGCAGAGATGGCAGATCAGAAACCGCCACTCGGCTTGTCACCTAATCATTCGGCGTATCCATATTTGGATATTGGCGGACGGGCGGCGAGCAACGGGGCGATGTGCCGTAATTCGGCCTATATGGCCATGGGGGGTTATCCGGGGGTTGGAGGTGAATACGACCTCATGCGGATGGATCCACTCTACGGAGGCATGAGTGACGCGATGGCCGTAGGAATGGGCGTAGGCGGAATGTCGGGGGCGTCCTACCAGGGCGCGGTGGGTGCAGGATCGATCAACTCGACGAAATGTGCGACGAACGCTGCACCGGTCCCCACGTACAAATGGATGCAAGTCAAGAGGAACGTTCCGAAACCCGGTGAGTAGTCCCTACACGACGCTCTCTATCGGTCGAGAGCTGGAGAAGAATTAGGCATCCTTCATTAGAATTAGAATCCATTCGACCATCGTCGGAGCTAGATTTTTTTCTCTATTCTCAGTCAGTGGATTCAGTCAGTGGAATGAGTTCTATGCACATCCCACAACTTGCCGTGGGAGACAAAAGACAGACTTCCGATACCTCATGTATATCCCCATTCGTTCAGATGATGCGTGTTCCGCAAAGATTTGCAATGATCTGAACTTTGAACAATTGAGAAGTCGCTCGTACTCGGGACGCGGGGGATCTTATTGCTGTGAGCTGTTAGCAACGAATCGTCTCCAATCGGGGGGGGGGGATCGTGGATAATTTTAGTCCTCCACCCGCGCTAGATATCCTGATCCCTAGGGCGGCGAGGGGACGTGGTCTTGGGATATTAGCTGGCTAAGGGAAGAAGTGAGACGCAATCGAACATAGCTCAATGCATTACACTCGGCTCAGCAGGGTGAGGAGGACGCCTGTCAAAATCAGCCATTGTTCGACTGCGCGAGGTTTTCGCTTTCAATTTCCTATAGTCTGTCTACGTTATTGTTGTGGTTGTCGTTTTCCTCCTGTTCGTAGTCGTCGTTGCCGCTGTCGTCGTCGTCGTTGGGTGAACTTTCTTCGTATCGGAGGAGCAGCCACGACAAAAAATGAAGAAAAAGTCCTCGCGCGTCTCACGCAGCTAAGTTTCCCTTCAGTCAGTCAGTCACTCAGTCGATATTGATTGTCGAAACCTTTTTGTTGACAACGACCGAGATATCGAACGTTGATGAGTGCGGCGCGCGGCCCCAGCCTCGCGAGCTCGCTACACTTTGTATCGCTGAGCCAGCTCTCGGCCGATAGGAAATTGCCTTCGCGAGAACGAGCTCCACCAGTGATAAATCAGAGTATCATGGGAACATCCTCCCGGCTCTGATCAGAGATTTCGCGCCGACCGCGATCTACATGGACCTGCCCACATTCGCATATGAACAGTAGGTATATATGTATCTCTGCATCGCTTGAGCCCTTGTTCCTCTGAGCATATTTGCTCTCTGTTCTGTATGAGGGGATATTTATTTTTAACTCGAATAGAGAAACGCCGGGAACTCTTTCCTCCCTACCTACCTACCGAACAGGAGTTTCTCTCTGCTTGGGTGCCTCCGGTGCGCGCGGCGAATCATTGGCATTGGCGGTCTGGGCTGCTTTTTTCCATACAACGACTCTGGTCAGCCTTCCTCCCCGTCTGTCGGTCCAGCAAACGAATTGTTGGTTCTTCCCCGTTCCTCCCTCTCGAACGCTTCTCCCGAGATTCAACTTCCTTAAAGTTGAGATGTTTATGATGACGCGCCAGCCCCGTGATATGCGACGGCTGCTACCGTCTTCGTGCTAAGTGCTTGCCACCCAAGGGTTAATGAGAAATTAAGCGCCTCATTGAGCCCGCTGATTATATGTACCTACTTCTTCCAAGGCTGCTGCTGCTGCTGTCAGATGGCGTTCTGTTCTGCTCACTCCCCTCGGAACGAGCCATAATTGAGCGAAATGAGTAATTAGAGATGGCTTGCAAGTTTCCTCTATGAAGTCACAATCGATCCGGCCATTTTTTTCGGTTTTCTCTGGGCATAGAGGGAGATGCTGCCGCGGATTGCGAGAGTGGAAGGCTCGGGAAATCGACCGGAACGGATAATGTCTAGAGCGCTCGAGAGCAACGATGAGTGGAACCCTTCTTATGCTGTAAGGTTTGTGAACTCTGTCAAGCGCGGTAGGTGGGCTGAATTCCACCCATATGCGGTGGACCGAACAGCCAGGGATACAGGGGAAAGCAGATCCTGGACAGAGATTTTAGAATCGTCAAGATGTACCATAAGATTGCTGTCGAGCTCTCTATCGAGATCTGAACTGACCGATAAACTCCCTCTGCTTGGAGCCGGGTCGAAAGCGTTTCACGACGGTAATCGAGGAATTTGATATTTTTAGGCTGGAAGTCTCGGTGGGCAGTGGGCACGCTCTGCGCGTCATCTAGCGTTGACGACTGCTGCTACCCGTCGAAATACTTTAAAACGCTCAAATCCGTTTTTCCAAAACGTTCAAAGCGCTCAGGAGACTTCCTCACGGATCTCGAGCTCCCCGTCTCACGCAGAATTTTGGATAATGTTATCGTGTGAGCGGTGGGAGGTCCTATGATCTGAAATTCTCATCGCATAGCCGCGAAATCTCCGAACCCTTTTCTCCCGAGTTTTTGCCGAAGCTGCGGCGTTAAACGGTTTTCAAACTCTCCGATCAAGCTCAGCGGACGGTGATCGATCAAACACAAACGTCATTTTGAATATCTTCATTCTGTCGAAGTGAACTCTACCGAGAAGATGAAGAAAACCTCGTTCGAGGCAACAGAGTTCGAGTGGACTCGACTCGGGAATTTTGAGATGGCGTCTTCATCATAAACCGAACTTGGAACATAAGTGCAGATGTATCCTGCACGGATGTCCACACGGAGAGGCGGACTGGCAGACAGGCAGACTATCAGGCGTTCCTGGCACTGGCCGCTGGACGGTGGAGAAGTCAGACTGGCAGATCTTGGATTGAGCGGGACATAATCAAAAGCGAATCCGTCTGCTCGTGGAGTGGAGGGGGTAATGACTGGTTGCGAATCTTGGCTCGGTTTTTTTCTGAATCTGAATAAGACAAAAGCTGGCCAATGGCTCGCAGACAACAGAGCGACAGACAGACAGTCCGCTCGTCCGTCCGTGCGTCGGGGACGAACGGACGCACCGACTGACGCACAGTCAGACCGTCAGTGGTTGTTCCTCGGCCGCGGCGGCGGTTGCAGCAGCGTGCTGATCACCTTTTTTCGTGATGCCCGCCGGCGTCTCTCTACTGTCTTGCCGCCGCCGCCGTCGCTGCTTCCACTACGGAGGAAGAGAAGATAAAGATATGCTTCGATTGCGCTCAGCGCTAGCGAAGCGACCGAACCAGGTGAGCAGACTACTGACCGTCCGACGAACGAATGGATGAAATGACAGACAGACATACGGACCGAGCAAGCAAGCCGCGGCCGATCCTTCCTTACTCGGCTAACGAAGCATTCCGAGCTCTTCTGAGCTCACCGACAGATGTCGCGGCACGCATCGACACGTCAGCACGCACGCGAAAAAGCATAAACGCCCTACCGTGCGCATATTACCACGCACGAACTCGTTCCGACCCCGAATCTGACCCAGCTCCCATTTCCCCGGGGTTCAGCTATTGTTTCTAACCGAGTCACATTCGGCTTGAAATGAATTTGCGAGAGTGATTTCTTTTGTAGGGATAAATCTTCTTCCAAGTCATTCTTCGCTATTTCGATATTCCCCGCTCGTCCGCAGTTTGTTTCGTAAGTTTTCCAATATCCAGGACAATGGATCCATGAAGAGCTCAGTTTTCGAGCTTCAGTGATGCTCACCATGAAACGAGTATTGAATCGTGCAATCAATTGTCCACCCGAGCAGTATCCGATTATTATACGAATGACCCTTCATCGGCTGAAACTGACTCCGACTAGATGTGCTCAACAACATATGCATCAGGATCCATGATTTGTCGAAGCCTTTCGGAGCACTCCCTTGAGACGAGTTCATTAGAGAGAGAGAGGCTTTCCCACCGTCTCTTGGTTGGTTGCGAGATGCTCGGCAGGCAGCGATCGGGCGGGCGGGCGGTCGACTTGGAGCGATTCGCGAAAGTTGTGGCTCTGTTTCCGATAGGGTTGATTCCTAGATAAGCTCACCGGTCCGAGTAGTCACACATGCTCGCATAGATGATAATGATTTCGTCAGAAATCATCGAGCTCATTCGTAACGAAAGACTTGGGAGGTAGCAGTCGTTTAGAGGAACAGTGAGAATAATCGGAAAGGCTTAGAGATGGGCCGCTCACCTGCTCCGAATCCGAACGAGAGCTGAATTGCGCCTTCAGTGCTCTTACTGGTCGGAGTTCCGGAATGCCTAGAAGGAGCCTACGAAGGGAGGAAGCCTGGGCAAAGAACCTCGCGGGAGGGGGGCGCCTCAGCAGCGGTAAGGAAAAAGTCATGCACGCACTCTCCGGCTGACGCAGAAGCTGCGAGAGGGCGACGGTGAGGAACTCCGTAGATGTCTTCGGGTCAACACTTCGCAGTTGGGGGCTGTGGAGTTTTCGTTGCTCTTGGGAGCGAGCAAATCGAATGAACTTTCGTCACGCCGTTGTTTTGCTGATGATACGAAGAACGGTGAATTTTCGGAACTCGACGTAGAATTGACTCCGATCCAACGACACGGAATGTATACGGCCATCGATGTTTCGAGAATCACTCATTTCCTACCGAATGTCCCCGAGGAGCTCGACTAGAAGACAAGCAGAACTCCTGCGTCGAACCAGCTTCCGATCGAAAGTGCCGCACAGTGAGTTCGCACAAGCGGAGCAGAAGACAGAGTATTGATGACAGGGTCGCTGCGTGAGCGAGGACACCATGGAAAGATGAATAAAAAATATCCTGCGATGGGGCATATGTTGCGGCCGTTGTCGCGTGGCGTTTGTTCGGTGAGTTCGAAGTAATTTGGTCAGAGGACACGCGGACAGGAAAAAAATGTCCCCACGTTGGATTCAATATCGAAAATTATCTTTGGCCGCACCGGACGCAATGATGGATCTTCGCTCATCCAGATGATCGGCAAGATGTGTCACCGCCGTGTTGGGGGTCGCTCGCTCAGTCGCCCATGAACGGTCGGTCGGTCGGTGGATCTGTCGACCGCTCGCTCGGAGCGCCAATCGTTCGATCTGCTGTTGCTCTTCTTCTTGTCGGACTCGTTGAAGACGCTCACTTCATCCATGACTCTCGGAGTCTCCTCGAAGCTCCGAGAGATTATCATATGTCTTGAGTTTATTCCGCGTTGATGATCGAATTTTCCAAAAATCCGTATCTCCATCGGAATCTTTTCTCGTCGGAATGAATAGAGAAAGGAGTACGAGATAG